TGGGAGTCAGAAACTGTTTTGGAAAAACCAAGTTCATAGATCATAGACCATACCTGTTCTATGACATTGGGAGCGCATAAAGGTATATCAACACCAGCTACAAAGAAAATTTTTGATTGTGTTGGTTCATTGTTACTTTCGTCATCAGAAGTTGGCTAGTATTCCACGGTTGGTTCATGGATTGCCATCAATGCCCTTTGTTTTTCTTGGTTTTCTAGTTTCTTCAGTTCATCGACTCTTTGAGCATAGTATGCCTAGTCTTTGATTTTGGTTTTGTTTTTTGCTCAGCATTCTCTAGCACAGTGATTTGTTCATTAACAATTGTGACAAATGATCACGTCTTCATCATTATTATCCTTTTGACTCTTTATTGGAAGACTTTCAGGTGCTTGAGTTTGGGTTTGTTGGGAAGGTTGATAATGGTTTTGTTCAAATCCAAAATTATGGTTGCTTTGAAAACCATTATTTTGATTTTTGTAACCTTAACTTTAGAAACCTCTGTTTTGATTCTGAAGACAGTTGTTTGGATTATTATTATGACCTGAGTTGGGATTGTTTTGAAATCCATGGTTTTGAAAACCTTGGTTTGAGTTTTTATGGATGGAAGTTCTTTGAGAATTGTGTCCAAAGAATGGTCAAGGTTGAAAACCTAAGTTGTTTTGTCCATATGAAGTTCTTGGTTGAAAACCTGAATTATTTTGTCCAAAAGATGGTCTGTTTTGAAATTTTGGTCTAAAATTTGATTGACCATGATTCACGAGAAATCTATGGAGATTTATGTTTGCAACCAACACACACAATTATTGATAGTCTCTTCATCATTCGAATCAGACTGATCAAAACAATTATTTACAAAGGCTTGGTTTTGAAAAGATGTAATCTGATAAGAGGGACAAGGATAATCCAAGTGAATGTTCAGATGCAGGTTGTGTAGGTGGTAGTTAAGGAAACTCTCAAATGCTGGTTGGCGTCTCTTTTATTATCGATAACAGGCTTATGATCGAGTCCAAGTTGATTGCTTAAGAGTTCGAAGTATGTCCACAACATCTGATGGGGTGCAGTTGGATGCAAGTTTCAACTCAATATTTGTGGCGTTGTGATGGTTAGGGTGTGATAAGGTCATGGGTCATAACTATGGTTGATTGATGTGTTGTAAGACTGCGATGGTATCGTAGCATTCACCAGTGCAAAGTACATTATCATCGGAGGTGGTCACGAGTACATAGGGAAATCAATTCATACCTTGTGCACACTATTTAGGATTATCAAGAAGTATTGATCTATTCTAGAGTGAGGACCATCAGGGTCCGAGGTGGATTCATACGCATGTAGCTCTTATTGGGTGGAACCCGTGGCCAAGGCCTGTTTGATTATGGCAATACAAGTGGGATCTGGGGGAGCCCATTGGGTCTAGGTTTTGGATCTTGGGTTTTAGGTTTTAGTTGGTGTTTAGTGTGTGGCGCAAAGAGGTTTATAGACTGGGTAGCCTTCTTATTTGGTGTCTTGGGCACCTAGTGTTTGGACCAGAAACAAGACTGGTAGCCTCAGTGATGGTATGGGAACCTTTATATCTAGTTCTAGTGAGGGGTTATCATGAATAAGAAGGTTTCTCTAGTGAAATACATATGCAGATTCAAGGATCTTAGGTTATGAATTGAGTATCGAGTTGGTTTTCGGGTAAGATCTTGAGGTAGGTATCATGAGTGTTTATATGTAGAATTTTCATTCAGTAGAATAAGAATTAGGGTATCTTTATGTCGAGGGCATCGATCACAAGGTTCAAGGGTAAGGGAACGGATTTAGTTATGATGTTAAACCAAGCCATTGTGTTTGTGTCTTGGGATGGCTTTATTTGTGGGATGGGCACAACATGTTTTGAATCGAGAAATGGTAGGTCATTGGAGACTGGGTATGATATGATACTACAATTGGGCATGTAGAACTCTTTTACTAGTGGATTTGGTGGCGATATGGTTTGAGCAATTCTCAACACATAAGGTTTCTCTCGATAGTCGTGTGGGCCGATGGTGTTTTTGTGTCCTTCGACTCATGAACCGGGCAGGAGTCTAGTTTCTCAAATAGTTGGAAAACAAATTGGGGTCAGGAAGGTCTCGACTGATTTTGAAAAGCAGCTAGGAGCAGCAAGAGGATTCAGAGTGGTTTTAGTGATTTAGGATTCGTGTGTGGAGTCGCATGTTATTCGGGGCATATGGTAAGTCACTTGCGGTTGGATTAAATAATCTGTGGGTGGTTGATTGGACTATGTTGCACAATTCTAGTTTCAATCTAAACGTTGCAGGGAGGAAACTTCTACTCGAAGTATTATCTTAGCCATCCCTGTATAGGTGTTCTGAAGAAATATACGGGCAATGATTTTGGGTTCCCCATGGAAGCATCAATGGTTGGAAGTGTTTTGTTTTTTCCAGAATTCAATATGGAAGTGGTATGGCAGTGGTTCTGTGTGGGTAGTCCGTCAAGGAATGCAAACCAATTTGAGATTTTAGGATTCGGAAAGGGTAGAAGTGGTGTTCTGCGAGGTTTTAAGGTTTGTTCACCTTTGGGTTTGGTGAGTGCTGCTAGGGTTGGTTTCAGTTTCCATGGGAAGGTTGTGGCATCCTCAGGATTATGGTCAAGTTGCTGAAGACTTTGGCGTGACAGGAAAGGTAAGGCTTGCTTTCAAGGGAGACATCTAATTTAAGTAGGGAGGAGAGTTGTAATGCTTTGATTCAAATCGTTTCCCATTTTGGCAGATGGTATTCAGGAAATGGGTATTAATAGGCTTCAGACCCTTGAGTAATTGATATGCAAACTCAATTGGCGATGGATAATGTATTTCGGATGGTTCAAGAATTTAGTTTGTGGTTTAGAATCAAAGGACATTTCGGTAAATTGTTAGCTCAAGATTTTATGGTATGTGGATGTTCGCTCAGGATATCTTATGGCAAGTATGAGTTGATAATATTATAGAGTGTCTCGATACCTCTTCATCGATTTAAGGATGGTCGAAATCGGAGTTGCCTCGAGAAAGTGTGGCCTTCGTAATGATTTAGTGTTTGGAGAAGACCCTAGTACGCGGGGTGTACCAAGGTAATACACAGGGCGTACTGATGTGAGGGAGGTAACGCGAGGCGTAGCTGGAGGTAAGTGTAGCATAGTGCGAAGATGGATCCGGGTGCGAGACCTCGTATGCTAGGGGTATGAGAAGGTATGCTGGGCGTATGAGGGTCACATTGAAAATCCTAATTTTAGGGTTTTACCTTATGTAAGCATAATTTTAGCCTCTTTCCTCCATTTCCAACTCGGCCTCCACAATCTAAAAAGCCTACATCGAACATAGAGCTTCTTGGAGGTGTTGTTAAGCTTTTGGGAGGCTTTGATGCTCATTTTTTCCCTTGGGAAGGAAATAAGAGAAGTTGGAAGTTGTTTTGCTTGGTGGGAAAGCTTTCGATCCATAATCAAGACCTTGGGGGAAATCGTTTTGAGGTAACAAGTTTGAATCTTGGCTCATGCATCATTAGATATGTTCATGGCTAGTTTTTTATGATTTTGGTCAACTTTTTGAGATTATGCATGAGTTACGTTGTTAAAGGGTTCATCCTTTCAGATCTGAGTTTGTTTCGGTGTTATTAAGCATAAAGGTGAAATCTTTATGTGTATTATGGATCCATGCATGAATTAAGTCAACCAATAAGCCCATTTTATGCTTAAGAGCTTCTTCTAGTCATATATGAATGTAAAGTTTCCAACTTTACTTGGTATTCCAACTCAGGGAGGTCAGATATGTGGCTTTGTTGGGACATATGAGAATGTGTGTATTGAATTAGGGATACGTGGTAGCTTTTAGGGTAAGACCAATAACAGATTTGGGCCTAATTTGAAAATCTGGGCCATAAGTGGCGTTTGGATGATTATTATTATATGGGCCTTAATTATTCAATGTTTGGGGTTTAGTCTTAGACCAATCAAGGAGAGGGGTAAAATGGTCTTGTTACCCCATATATGGATTGTTGGATTAGGTTTGGATGCCAATTGATCAATGGGTGTTATTTGTTGATAGCACAAAATTTTTTTAGCGGATCTATAGTAAGAGAGTATATGTGGGTTTCAGTTGTTCGAGGTGAGTCTTCTCACTATGGGTCAACAACACCAATTTCGGCCCATTATGTATTATGTGATATGCTAATTGTCTTTGTGATACTTGCATGGAACGGCGCGGGGGTAGCCCGTGGCACTTGGATATTAGACGATGGAGGGAGCCCATGAAATTCCAGGTAAAGACCATAGGGGAGCCCATGACATTCCAGCTAATGACTATGGGGGAGCCAATGTCAACTATATGTATGATGCATGATAATCGATGGTAGTATGTTGTATGCTATTTTAGGAAACTCATATAGCTTTGTGCTTACGGTTTTCAGTTTATGTTTTAGGTACTCCGGTTTCAAATCGAAGAGCTTGGGATGATTGTAAAGCATACACCACATGTTTCCGCATTCTGTGAATTACTCTGATTTGATGATCTTTTGTTAAAGATTGGTTGGTTTTATGGAAAATATATGTATTAATGATTTGTTAATCTAAAAAAGTTATGTCATGATTTTTGGGACAATACCTGAAACATGTTAAAAAGGGGTCAAACATTGACAACATATTAACTTATTTAATTTACATATGCATTGTGGATATACACAACTATCAAAATTAAATATACATTGACAAAAATAAACACTATGACAACTATTACAGATAAAAACAAGCAAAATTTAATGATCTATAATTTTAATATACGGAAAATATTGTAATATGGTATCAATTGTTAAGGTGATCTCATATAATTATTATACACTCGATTCAAAATAAGATTATAGTAATCTAAAAAGAAAAGGAACTCACATGTTAGCAATGAAAATGATATTGAACATTAACTACTCAAATACAAATATAAATATATAAATAGTGATAACTTGTGTGCATGAAAGATAAATAAACTCTTGAGAAAAATGAGGTTTGCTACAATACATAAGTTGTTCATTTTTTACATCTCAACGTTCTCAATTGCTTCAATAGCTCATGCATGTTTTGCTCCACATTGGGATGTTTATGTTACTAATACTATATCTGATAATATTGTTGCTCATATCAAATCCAAAAACGATGATCTTGGGAATCATACCATTCCATTCAATGGAAATTACCATTGGTCTTTTTGTGAAGCACTCTTTGGGAAGACTCTGTTTTACGCCTACTTCTGGTGGGGTTCAAGGTTTCAAACCTTAGCTTTGTTTGATGAAAAACTTGAAGAAGCCTATTGTTTTATAGAAGACTTGCGTGATCAATATTGTTATTGGTTTGTAAAACCTGATGGTTTTTATATATCTGTATCTCCAGATCCAAATGGAGATAATGTGCACTTTATAAAACCTTGGCAATAAACAAAATACATAGCATGGTTTTCCTATTGTAACTTGATATCATATACAATAAGACTTGAATGAAGACATTATATGCTTTGTACTTGTTTATTTCTCTTGCCAACAAATGTTTTGTACATTTTTTTCCAGTAACAAATATATGAGTATTTAAAAATTTCTCAAATAAATTTCTCTATTGCATATCCACTACTCTACGTTCGTGTAAATATTAGAAAAAACAAAGAGATAAACTAAACAATCTTTCGACACTGTAATACCTAAAGAAAAGTGAAGGTACACCCTAGTGACAAGGTAAAAAGGAATTTATCAGTTTCAGAACTAAACAAGAAAACTAACCAAAATTACAACTACCGTAAAAAGAATTTTCATGAAAAGTTTATTCTATGTTTTTATTTATTAGATATAAGTAAAAATATATTTTATATAATTGTTTAGCTATGATTTAATTATTTCTATTTCTATTAGATATATGGTATAGTTAGAATATTGAAGTTCATCCTATTAATTTTAAAGGTCAACGGATGTTATTTCTTATATTTAATTTATGATATATTTTCGCGAGTGGTTGGTAGTTTAATCTTTCCCAAATCAAAAAATATTTATAAGTTATTTGTTGAATGTATTCGGAATAACATAACTCAACTTATTATACGTGTTCCAATTTTTGCCTTTCAAAATAAGAAGCTATTCATACTCTACTGAAAAAAAAAATCTAACGCTGTGATCTTCCCATAATCGAGAGAGTTTTTATATTTTTTTGAAAACTGAAAAGGATTCGGTGGAAACCTGTACATAATATTTCAACGTGTATCCTGAGTTCAAGGTCCTCATAAACAGGCAAGTCCTGCCCCATAGAGATTTATACGAAAAACTTTCCCACCTATGACACTGAAAGAGGTATCCTTCAAGGTTCGAAACCAAGACCTCAACCTTAGATGGGTATAAAATAGGGGTGAGCAAAAACTGAACCGACTAAAGAAAAACCGATAAAACCGCAATAAACCGCAACCGAAAAACCGAAACCGATGCAAAAACCAATGGTGCGGATTTAATTTTTGCAAAAACCGAAGGTCAACGGTGCGGTGCGGTTTCTATCTTAAAAATCGGTCCATCAAAACCGAACCGCACCGCAAACGTGTATATTAATAAATCAATCAATGTATATTATATACATTCTATTTAAAATAGTTATAAACGATAATGTATTTATTATATGTTTATTTTGTGTTTGTATAAAACTATATGGGGTGTAAAAGAAATGTTCTATTGTTAGCCAAACGTACTAATCGATTACATGTAATAAGCTTGTAACAAATTAAGTCAAAATCAACCAACCTTCAATCATTAATTAGTTTGTGAGAGTGGTCACAAGTTGTATTTTAAGTGACTTACTATTTTTGATTATGTAATTTTGTTTTGAGCTGAAAATAAATGTATTAAAAAAAACAGCACAATACAAGCTTATATGCACATGGTTTTCAGTTCTTACAGTTTTAAAAAACCGTACAAAAAAACATAAAAAAAACTGCACCAAATTCTTAACACGGTTTAAAAAACCGAAACCGCACCGATACAAACCGAAACCGCATTTAAAAACCGAAAAACCGATCCATTGCAAAACCGCACCCAACGGTTTTAAAAATGCGAAAACCGCATCATACGGTTTGCGGTTCGGTTTGGTCTGAAAACCGCACCATGCTCACCCCCTAGTATAAAATGTCATGCATGAAACCAGCTAGGATTGACGTCATTTGTTATAGAGTTATTATATATAAATCGAAAGTGCCATAATACTCTCACAACTCATCATACGAACACAATTTATTGCATATAAAGTTTATAATGATTGTAATATTTGGAAAATCTAAAAGTATTTATAAGCTAGATTTAAAAAGAAATATTGAGAATAACTTTATCCAATTATTAAACATAGTAGAATTCTTCCAATTCCGCCCTTCAAAATAGCAAGCTATTAATACTCGACCAAAAAATCAACATCGTGATCTTCCCAAATCCAAGAGAGTTATCATATCGAAATTGAAGGATGTGTTCACACGAAGGATGTGTTCGGCAAAAGCCAGTAGCTGAAAGATAGTAGCAGAAAGCTGGAAGTTGGTAGCGGGTAGTTGGTAGCCGGTAGCTAGAATTTGGATGGTGTAACTTTTATTTTTATAAGAGTGTTGGTAACAAGTACTTCGAAGCTTCTAAAAAATGTTAAATTACATAAATGAACATATGAATATAAACTATAACTGTAATATAATAATGATAAATTAATTTTTCTAAACTATATTTATCAAAAATTAAAAACCATCCAAAATTTAATACCAAGTACATTGGTTAAGCTTCTAAAATTGGTAATGATTTTTATGCATATTAGACTATATTTAGGTTACTAACTAAGACTAGTTGTTATGTGAAAAGCTAAGTGATAGCTGAATATTTTGTTGTCAGCTAAAAAGCTAGTTGTTATATTAAAAGTTAACTAATAATTATTTATTTATTTATTTATTTATTTATTTATTTTTTGTAAAAACTAGCTAATAAGCTAGCTGGAAGTTATATAAAATTACATACATTACATTTAGAAAAATATTAGTTTTATAATTATTTAAAGGTATATATGGAAATTTTCAAAAATAACTTATGAAAAGCTAGATTTTGAGCTATTTTTAACTCTTCAAACATGACAACTTACCAATGTCATTTTTATTGGTTTTCTCTAAACTTTTCATATAACAATTACCTTTTCAACTATCAACTAGATTTTGATATTTGTAAAGTATACTAAATAATGTTGTTTGATATTAATTTTGATTTATTAATTAATGTTATAAATATTTATTATTTGGTTAGGTGAAGATTAATAAATTATATAACCCATTTATATGGTGGTTTCAAATAAAAACATCATAATTTAAAAGATAAGAACAAATTTTTTTATTATGTGTGTTAGCCCTTCATATGTTTTAAAAATAAAATAAAACTAAGTAAAAGAAATGGATAAGGGTAGAAAATGTCTCTATATGTGTGTTATGAATGAGATAGATAAAAAAATTAAACTTTGAGAGACCATTCAAGTTAAAAAAAGAGTTAGGGACAAAACGCATTGATTATCGTTAGATAGGGTGTCTAAGTCCATAACTATATTTTTTATGTACTTAACCCGACTTAGCATTATCCATTTGGGTTGCATGCAATCAGAACAATTGGATAGATAAAATGAGAAAAGGATACTTGTGATTTGTTAATATATTATAAGTTCTAGCATATTAATATGAAATCATATTATTTAATTCGTATTGATCAAGAATTAATTTGGAATTAATTTTGTGATCAAAAGAGAATAATTAAATGAATGGGGATTGCTTGCGTAAATCATTCATTATTCTATTGTGGGCTTATGATCTATGATTCATTAGATTAGGCTAAAACCCATAGGGTGATCCATGGAGGTTAATACCCATGGATCATGGAGGAAATGAAAAGTCATTCACATTAGGGTTTGCATAGTTTAACCCTACATGTGACACACTACATAACGAACCACATAGCAAGTAAAATCAGCCACCAGACATACAAGTGATGGCTTAAATTTTTAGTACAAGTCTTCTTCTCTCAAGTTAGTCCAATAGTTGTGTAGTTGTGTGAGACATTTGAGGCATCACACTTGGAGTGCTAGGCCCACAAGGTCTTAAGGAATCAAATCTACAAGAAAGGTGTGTCATTCTACTAGTTTTTATATTACATATACCCCATGATATGCTAGTTAGGATGAAAACCTTAGAAAATGAAAGTTTGCATGTATAATAGAGAAAACATATGTCCAAGGTTTCTAGGGTTGCATGTACACCATAGGAGTGTTAGAATGCTCAAAACCCATCAGTGGTATCAGAGCTAGGTTTGTTTTCAATTATACTTGATGTCAACTGCTGAAAAAAGTCGAATTTTTTGTCTCTATTCAGTCAACTCGTCGAGTCCATCGGGGGACTCGACGAGTCCATGTGAAAACTCATCCAACTCATCGAATTGGTTCATGCAATCGACGATTCGGAGGCCCTAAGTGCAAACTTTTGAGTTTTATTGTTGGCTATTGGACTAGGATCATTAACCTAATCTGTTTTTTAGTTTGTTAAACCTTTTTTTTTGTAGTAATTATTACGCTTATCCAATTTCAATGATAGTTTTCAAAGTCTCAAGTTTTATATTAAGTTTATATGATACTTGAAAGTTGTTGATATGGATGTTTCTTGCTTATGAGTTTTTGGTTAGATCATAGGAAGTATTTGCAAATTAATTGTTAGTTAATTGTTGATCAAAATGATTCATAATGGACTCTGTAACTTGTCCTCAAGTTATGGAATTCCAAAAGTCTCATTCATTAAAAGCCTTTACAACTCATAAATTATAGAAATGGAAGGTTTTGAATAGTTTCAAAACTTGCCATCAAGTTTTGAAATTTGTAAAGTCACTTTAGAAAACTTTAATTCCAAACCCTGGAATTTTATATGTTTAAAATTCAACCCTTATAGTTGTTGCATAAGGTGTCTAAGTCTATAAATATTTCTGGTAAATACTTGACCCGACCAGGCATGGTCCATTTGGGTTGTATGGCATCATGGAATTGAATAAACTAAATGAGAGAAATAACACTTATGGTTATTAATATATTATAAGTTCTAATATATTAATAATATTATTTAATTAGTTTTGATCAAGAATTTCTTTATAATTAATTAAGTGATCAAAATATAACTAATTAGATATATGGGTAGATTAAGTAAATCTTCCATATCTTATATAGTGGGCTAAGAGGCTCCATGGATTGTCAAGTTGGGTTCCACCCACAGGATGCTCCATGGAGTTAACCCATTGATCAAGAATTGAAGAGTCATGGAACATTAGGGTTTACCTAATGCAACACACTATATAAGCAATGTGACTCTCCCCAAAATCGGCGACACTAAGAAATAAGAGGGCTTGGCCGATTTTGCATGAGT